TGCTGAAGTGATTTAACTAATGACAAACAAACCCATGGCTATGAACGTATTTTTTAGAATACAAAAAAGAAAAAGAGAGGTGGCACGTATAAAGTTAAAGAAAGAAGACAAAGAGTCGCCACTGAAGCCACTTCAGCTCCAAATGATGAACCTCCTGTTGTAAAGGCTAAAGGCCAAGTTCCAATTAAAACTTTTTACGATTATTTGGATCCTTATTTCCGTGATTTTACACAAGAAGATTTGAAATTTTTATCAGCCAAAGTAAAAAAAAATCATTATTTCTATCTTACACACACATATATAATATATATGTAATTTTTTTTTACATTTTATTTTTTATTTTTAAAAAGCCAAACAATCAAAAGTATTATGAATTCCCTAAACTAGGAAAACGTTACACGGAAACTTGGGAAGAAGAATTGGGTGAACTTACACAACATGATCAAGGTGGAATTGTGCAGTCAAATGGAAAATTTAACACTTATTCGTCAAACGCTCGATACGGTGAAAGTGATGATGAATTTTTTGGATCTATAAGTGAACGTTTATTATCTTCTTTAATAGGATATGGCGATGAATTTAATCAACAGGAGGATCATCAATATTTACATAATGGTTATCATAGTACTAGTGGCAATAATGACATTATTAATGATGATGATGGTGATTTCACTGGATTAATTTCCAAAGATTTTTTGAGGGACTTTGATACACAAGACCATAATGTGAACGATAACGTTTTTAGAGAATTGAAAGCTTTGGGTCTTGTTGATGATGATGATGATGTTAGTATATTTATAAATACGTTATAATTTTTATATATAAATACTTATCTATTTATGCATTTATAAATAAATTTATTTAGTTTCAATGGAATGAAGGGTGTGTTGATGATGACGACGAGATTGGCAAAGAGTTGCTTGAATTACAAGCAAGGCTGCGTGAATTGGAAAAAAAGAACGCATACCGTAAATCTGTCCTGAAAGAAAGTGTAAAGGACATGATAGGTTATCAACAATTTATCCAAATTGAAACAGTAATTAATAATGAAATTAATGAAGCTTACTTGGCTCGATATGTAATTGTTTTTCTTGGTTATTCATTTTTCTATTAAATATTCACTTGTATATTAAATTTTAATTCTAATTTTTTCTTTTAAAAATAATAAAGCCTGAAAAACAAAAAGAAATAAAAAGTAGAAGAAGTGGTTCCAGAAAAACAATTCCTGGTGATGACCTGCAAATATTTCCCACATTAACATCCCAACACTGTAGATATCTGATTCTTTGGTGTTCTTCATGTTATTGCCTCTAAGCAGCTCAGGTGCAACATATGACACAATTCCATAGACTTTATTTGATGACTTTTCATCAACTGGTCCACATAATCCTAAAT